GCTGCAGTAGGGCCATGTGGTTTTGAAGTTCTGAAATTTTAACACTTAAATCTGGAGGGATTTCTGCCAAAAGCCACTGAGTTTAGAGATCTGCTCCTGAGTCTCTGGGATCATGGCCGTTGAGCAGCTTGATGAGGAGCCAAAGAGGTCATTCGTGGACAATGACTTGGGGTCTCATTGGGGTGGGGAAGACAGGCCCGGCTCCACCTCCCCCCCATCCCGTGAGACCCAACAAGTTTCGTCACTGCGGGCCCAAGCCTGACTGTCCAATGGCCTCTGGAGGATGACAGCCACCAAGTCACCAAGAGGGAGCAGGTGGAGGGACAGCACCCATTCCCCCTTGGGGTGGCCCGGTGACAGTAACCTACTGCGGGGTCCGGACACATTTCTGACAAAAGCCGCTGGGTTTCGAGATCTGTTTCTGAGTCTCTCGGATCAAGGCCGTTGAGCAGCTTGATGAGGAGCCAGAGAGGCCGTTTGTGGGCAATGACTTGGGGTCTCGTTAGGGTGGGGAGGACAGGCCCGGCTCCACCTCCCCCCCCCCATCCCGTGAGACCCAACAAGTTTCGTCACTGCGGGCCCAAGCCTGACTGTCCAATGGCCTCTGGAGGATGACAGCCACCAAGTTGCCAAGAGGGAGCAGGCAGAGGGACAACACCCTTTCCTCCCTGGGGTGGCCCAGCGACAGTAACGTACTGTGGAGTCCGGATTTATTTCTGCCAAAAGCCACTGGGTTTTGAGATTTGTTTCTGAGTCTCTGGGATCATGGCCATTAAGCAGCTTGATCAGGAGCCAGAGAGGCCATTCGTGGGCGATGACTTGGGGTCTCGTTGGGGTGGGAAGGACAAGCCCGGCTCCACCCTCATCCCGTGAGGCCCTGTGTGTCTCGTCACTGGGGGCCCAAATGTGACTATCCAGTGGCCTCAGACGGATGGCGGCCACTGGGCCGCCATGAGGAGTAGGCCAAGGCACGAAACCTATTCCCACCTGGGTTGGCCCAGCCCCGGTAACCTACTGCAGAGACCAGACGCATTTCTACCTAAAGCCACTGGGTTCTGAGATTCGTTTCTGAGTCTCTGGGATCATGTCCATTAAGCAGTTCAATCAGGGACCAAAGAGGCCTTGCCTCCAATTATATAGCTGAGCCGGAGGTGGTTTGTGGGTGTGTTTCCCACATACCTAACTTTTGGCCGTGGAGCGATAGCACAGCGGGTAGGGCGTTTGCCTTACACGCGGCCAACATGGCCGACCCGAGTTCGATTCCTCCGCCCCTCTCGGAGAGCCCGGCAAGCTACCGAGAGTATTCGATATGCCAGACACAGTAACAACAAAGACTCCAATGGAGACGTTACTGGGCCCGCTCGAGCAAATCGACGATCAACGGGAGGGCCTTTATCTTTTACTTTCTTGGTAAACTTTGCCCCAAGATTTTGGGGTCTGGCCAAAGGCACAGCAGCAATTATGGGGTATCTGGAAGTCTGAAGGCGCCATGAAGCTGCTGATGCACTCGCCTCACAGGTACAGATTGACCTGCTGGCGGCACCATACCCCACGCTGAGGGCAATTTCAACAGTTAAGGTCTCTATAAAATGATTGCAGTTCAGATGATAAAGTAGTCATTACAAATGAACTTTTATTTATGAATTTTCTGATAATTCCATCTTCCATTCCTTTAACTGTTGTGGTAACAGGTAATATAAAAGTAATTTATTTTACACCTGGGGACACTGGTGGAGGGACCGTGATACCAGTGATGGGACTGGTGCTGGAACCTTGTATGCCTGAAACAACTCTATTATGCATAACTTTGTAAACTATGGTATCTTAATAAAAGTCATTACTTTGTGGGGCCCACACCCGGTGATGATCAGGTTTTACTCCTGACTCTGCACTTAGGGATCATTCTTGGCAGGGCTAGCGGAGGACCATAGGTAGTGCCAGGAATAATACATGGGCCAACCACGTGCAAAGCAAGAGCCCTACCCAGTGTGTAATCGCTCCAGCCCAATCAAAATCAATTTTAAAAGGAATTTTGATTTGGCTGGTGATCAAACTTTGATTGCTCAAGTCAAAACCTTCCCAGTAAGTTTCCTTGTTCGCTAAAACTGTTTCTCATTGAGGCAGGAGGAGCATGAGGGAGCCCCTGGGTCCAGCCCCTGCAATACATGGGTTCCCCAGCAGCGGTGGCGCGAGTGTCCTTCCCTGCCCCTAAAAGGACACCTGCTCACTCCACTCTGGATCTGACTCTCCTGGCCCCCTGCCCAAGGGGGGTCAGCTTTAAAATGCACTTAGAGTACCAGCTTTGAGCCCAACACTTTCCTGCCATCTTCCCGTACGTCCCTGCCCCAGTTGCTCCCAGTTAGGGAACTGGAAAGGGGGGGTCCTCCTAAGTGTCCCCCCAGACACACCCACCTCTCCTGCTGTGTGATCTCCCGAGCACTTTCCTTACTGGGTTCTCAACAGTAGCCCCTGTTCGCAGATCTGAGCTCTAGCTCCTGCAGTGACACCGACATCCTCTGCCCAGCTGAGTGCCAGGGTGCCTCTGCCCCTGAGACACGCCAGGGCTCCCACCTTCACCAGGACCCCATGTCCAGTGCAGCCCACAATCAGTAGCAGCCTCTGAGGTTACCAGCGCACCTTGATCACTCGCTTCCCATGACGCATGCTGCATCGCATATCACTCACATGTGATAAGCCCCGATCACGGGGTCCATGAGCGCGGGGGAAGTTGGTCCACACCACCACCAGGGCCTTTCCCGGAGAGAAACCCCTCCAGCACAGTGATGGAAAGGGCCGCTCCAGCCTCCCGGAGGTGAACCAGCGCTCCCTGTTGGTGTCTGTGTGTGTTGGTGTCACACCACGAATAAAGTTTGGAAGCTTGGGGTCACCCAAAGTGCTGTGGGACCACGAGGTGCTGGGGACTGACCCCCAGATGCAAAGCCTGCACTCAACGCCTTTAACTTAATGTTTCCTGAACACTTGGCTCTCATAAGAGCAATTGTTTTTGTTGTGTTTTGTTTGGAGGCAACACATGGCTGTGCTCAGGGTTTACTCCTGGCTCTGTGCTCAGGGATCACTCCTGGTGGGCTCAGGGAACCACATGGGGTGGCAGGGATCGAACCTAGGTCAGCTGCATGCAAGGCAAGCGTCCTCCCCACTGTACTCTTCCTCGGCTCCAAAAATCAATTTTAGGCCAAGAACTGTTTACCAGCTTGATGTGGTAAGTGCAAATGTGGCCTTTTCGCTCCTTTGCTTTTCTCCTGGGTAACTAAGACCATTCTGAGGAAAAGACAAAGGAGCGTGAGGAGAATGCCCTACAGCAACCTTCATTCCCACACTCTGTTCTGTACCCCACACGGGACCCACCACACCTTTTTGGCTTTACAGGCCCCTAAAAAAGCCAAAGAAACACAAGTTGGCTTGATTTCTGACTTTGTGCTCCCCAATTTGCAAACCTAAGGCTTCTAATAAACAATTGCTTTCTCTTAGCCTCCTGGGGGTTATCTTGGTGGACAAACTTTGGGACCGGGGCAGGTGTCTCTCGTACCTGTCCTAGGAATGGTTCTCCGGGGCTGGAGAGATAGGACAGCCGCGAGGGCGTTTGCCTTCCACACGGCCAACCCTGGCTCCATCCCCGGCAGCCCATATGGTGGCCTGAGCACTGCCAGGAGTGATTCCTGAGTGCGGAGTCAGGAGTAAACCCTGAGCATTGCTGGTCGTGACCCCAAAACAAAACAAAAACATAATTCTTATTCCCACCATCCCCGGTGGCCACGGTGGGCGGCAGCAACGCTCTATCCTGCTCTCCCGATTTCCTGGAGACCAGGCAGACGTCGAGGGAACCTGGCGGCCAGGCGGACCGGAAACCTAGGGCGTGTGAACAGTGAGGCACGCAAATCCAGAAACTGGAAAAAGATGGGTTGAGGAGGGGGTTTACCTCCGCGACGCTCCCCACCCAATCCCATTCCAGCCCCCGAGGCGCAAGTGAAAGCCGGTGGCGCCACCTGGCGGCCACCCCGGAGAGCGACGAGCGGACCGTGCGCGGGCCCCTGCCCTGCGGGTAGATGGGGGGCCGCCGTATGCGCGCGGCCTGGGGAGCAGGAATCTCGCGGTGCAGGGCGGCGCCCTCCCTGGACCCGGGCGCACCCCGCAACTCTCTGCATGCCCCGCCGCCTCGCGCCCCGGGCGGCGGCGCCCTGCAGGGCGCAGCGGGCACCCCGGGGTGGCCGAGGCCGAGGCGGCTTGCGCGCGTGCGCCTGCCCCACGCAGCGCCCCGCACCACCGCGCGCGCGCACGCACGCCCCGACGCTCGCCCCCGCGGGCCGGGCTCCCACGCAGGGGTGCCCCTGGCCACGCAGGCCCTTCGGCGCGGGGCGCGGGTGCGGGCGGCCCGGCGCGCTCTCTCCACGGTACCCCGCCGCCGGCGCGGGGACGACGCCACGGCCTCAGCGGTCCTCTTAGGATGGACACCCCCGGAGAGCGAGACCCGGGGGGCTGCGCGATCCAAGGCCCCTCGGAGCCAACCGGGGGGTCACCGGAACCAGGCCGCTCCCACCTGCCGTCCGCCGCGGCCAATGAGAGCGTGGCCCGGTGATGTCATGGCCCGGCCGGACCCGGGTGACGAAAGCCCCAGGTTGCCCGTCAGGGACCTGGCGCGAACCCATCCACGGGGGTTCCGGAAGTTTCCACTGCAGCGGTGGAGCGCGGTCTCGCCCCGCAGCCCTGCGCTTCCACCGCACCGGCCAGCCCGCTCGGCTGTCCCCAGGTCACCTCTCCCAACCCCGCCGCGCGGGGGTCTCCCCACTCCGCGGGGCCCCCCTGCGTTTCCACTCGGGATCCCATGCGCGCGCCTTCATTCCCACAGGTGCGCCTCGTCCCCAGGAGCGTCCCGCGTCCCCTGCTCCCCGCCAGGGCCCCCCAGCTCCGGCAAAGCGGGGGTCAGTTCCATGCACTTGCACGTGCGCGCCCTGCGGGCCAGCCAGCTGCCGGGAGGTGCCGGGGGATGCTCGCCGCCCGAGGCTGCCGGGATGTCCCCGTGCGTGCGTCCGTCTGGCGCGGTCGGCCACTGCGTCTGTCTGGGGCCGTCGCCCCAGGACGCCCTCCAGCGGCCCGCGTCCGTCTCGCTCGCCTCGGTCCGTCCGTCTGGCCCTGCGGGTGTCTGCGCCGGTCGCGTCTGTCCGTCAGTCGGCGCCACGCCGGGGTCTCTCGGGGCCGGGGCCGGGGAGGGACCGGGGAGGCAGCGGCGGCGGGGAGGGCCGGGGGCGGAGCAGGGGCGGGCGCGGGGCGGGCGGGGGCGCCGTGCGGCCCGCAGGGGGTGTGTGCGGGGGGCCGAGGCGGCGGCTGTCAGAGTCGGCTCAGCCTGCGCCCGGGAACATCGGCCGCGTCCAGCTCCCGGCGCGGCCCGGCCTCAGGTGAGTCTCCCGGCCCGCCCGCCGGGGGATCGGCACCCCCAAACGGGACGCCCCCCGCCGCCCCGCACTCCGCCTTAACTCCTCCCCGGCCGCCGCCGGTCCCACGCCCGCGCCCGGCTCGGCGCCCCGCGGGGGTCGGCCGCCGCCTCGGCTCCCGGATTCCCGGGGGGACCCCTTCCCCTCCACCGTCGCCCCCAAGTCTGGAAGCGCTGGGAGACAGCCCCCTGCTCGGGGCGGTACCCGCTGCCACGCAGGTTGGCGGCGCCCGCTGGGCCAGCCCCTCCCCCCGCCCCGGCCCCGCTCCCCGCGCCCCGGCGCCCCCCCTGCACGCGCCCCTCCCGCGGGGACCCCGCCGTCTCGGTGTGTTGGGAAGGGGAGGCTCAGCGGAAGCCCCGAGTTATAATTAGCCCCACTCGGGTTTCCAAGTTAATCTCCTGCACCTCCACCACCCCCCCCCCCCCCGCTCCGGGCGGCGGGCCTGGGGAGGGGGGACCGCGGGCAGAGGGGGTTGTTCCGACCCGGGGAATTTTGATCCCTTGGCTGGAGATGCCGGAACCCGCAGCAGCAGCTGCTGCCCCAAAATAGCGCCCCCGCCTCTGCCGCGGGGATCTCCGGAGCTCCGGGAACACGGAAAGCCCGACTCACCCTTCAGACCCCTCCGCCATGCCGGGGAGCCCCCCAGACCCCCGCCCCAAGTTCCCGGCTCCTCGACTCGGGGCGGGGAGCGCCGCGCTTCCCTCGGTCTCTGTTGCCCCCCGCAGGCTGCGCGGCGCACCGCAGCGCTGCGCGCACGGGGTACTCGGGGCACCGGGGGGCTTGGGCTGGCGCGCCCCTGCGCCCCGGATCGGCAGGGGCGTGCGTCGTTGACCCGCGTCCGCGGGGAGCCGACGCAGGAAGGTGCGGAGGGGTGGTCGGCAGTGAACTGGGAGGCGCTGGGCGGGGCGCGGAGTCTGCAGGAAGGCAAAACCTGGGGTGCCCTGGGACTGACAGCTCCCACATCCTGATCGCCCCCCACCCCATCCCCCCCAGGGCCCCAGCCCTGGCCCAGGCCAGAGAGGAGAGATTGCGTCTTCACGGCCCGCCGGTCCCGCATCCGTTTCTTCAGACAGACAGGGCCCCGCCCCTGACGTGGTCACTGGACATCAGCCTTTGCCCAACCCCGTGACCCCAGCCAGGGAAGGAGGTGAGGGCCGGCCCGTGGGCACAGGAGCAGATGGAACGCTGGGAAGGTCCCGTGGGTGTTCTGTCGTGTGCCCGGTGGGGTGGGGGTGCCCCCGCCTCCCTTCTGGCTCTCTCTGGCTGTGTCCTTGTCTGCTGCGGCCCTCGCTGCCCGCTCTCCTTGCTGCCAGCCCGCCCCACCTCCCCTGCACCTCTCTGATAACCCCCGGGTAGGAGTGCCACCTAATCTCACCAAGACTGCCTCCCTCTGTCTCTGTCTCTCTGTCTGTCTCTCTCTCTCACTCTCTCTCTGCCCCCCAGACACCCTCCTGCCCCCCAGAAGCCATGAGGCCCGCATCCCTTCAGGCCTCTCCGTTCCTCCTCCTCCTCCTCTTCCTCCTGGAAGGAGGGGTGGAGGGCCTGGAGGATCCCGAGCTGCTGGTGACCGTTGGCGGGGGGCGACTGAGAGGCATCCGCCTGATGGCCCCCGGAGGCCCCGTCTCCGCCTTCCTGGGCATCCCCTTTGCTGAGCCACCCGTGGGGCCTCGCCGCTTCCTGCCGCCTGAGCCCAAGCGGCCCTGGTCAGGGGTGCTGAACGCCACAGCCTTCCAAAATGTCTGCTACCAATTCGTGGACAACCAGTACCCTGGCTTCGAGGGCAGCGAGATGTGGAACCCCAACCGGGCATTGAGCGAAGACTGCCTGTACCTCAACGTGTGGACCCCGTCGCCCCGGCCCACGAGCCCAGCTCCCGTCCTCGTCTGGATCTATGGTGGCGGCTTCTACAGCGGCGCCTCCTCACTGGACGTGTATGAGGGCCGCTTCCTAGTCCAGGCTGAGGGCGCCGTGCTGGTGTCCATGAACTACCGGGTGGGCGCCTTCGGCTTCTTGGCCCTGACGGGCAGCCGGGAGGCGCCAGGCAACGTGGGGCTGTTGGATCAGCGGCTGGCACTGCAGTGGATACAGGAGAATGTGGCCGCCTTCGGGGGGGACCCCACATGCGTGACACTGTTTGGGGAGAGCGCGGGCGGCGCCTCGGTGGGTATGCACCTGCTGTCGCCCCCCAGCCGGGGCCTGTTCCACCGGGTGGTGATGCAGAGTGGCACCCCCAATGCGCCCTGGGCCTCAGTGACCCCAGGGGAGGCCCGGCTCAGGGCCACGAAGCTGGCCCGCCTGCTGGGATGTCCCCTCACCGGCACAGGTAGCAACGACACTGAGCTGGTGGCCTGCCTGCGTGCCCAGCCGCCGAAGAAGCTGGTGGACTACGAGTGGCACCTGTTGCCACAGGACAGTGTCTTCCGCTTCTCCTTCGTGCCGGTGTTGGATGGAGACTTCCTCAGTGACACGCCTGAGGCCCTCCTGGAGGCCGGGGACTTCAGTGGCCTGCAGGTGAGCCAGGGCTGTGTGGGAGGGTGGTGGGGGTGGAGCCACTCCCTCTAGGTCCCCTGGTCCCCCCTCACTGCTCCCGGGAACCAACCCCAAAGGGCCATTGCTCCTTTTCCAATGGGGGGAATTAGATGGGGGGCAGTGGTAAACCACAGGGGACCCCGTTTCTGCTCTCTCCATCCCTCCTTGCCTAGTACTTAACTCTTGCTCCCCGAGGGTACAGGGCTGTAACGGTGCCTCTCTCTGGCTTTGTTCTTCTGTTTCTGTCTGTCTGTCTGTCCCTCCCCACCTTGCTGTCCCCTCACCAGGTGCTGGTGGGTGTGGTGAAGGATGAGGGGTCCTATTTTCTGGTTTACGGGGCCCCCGGCTTCAGCAAAGACAACGAGTCGCTCATCAGCCGGGCCCAGTTCCTGTCCGGGGTGCGGGTCGGGGTCCCCCAGGCAAGTGACCTGGCCGCCGAGGCTGTGGTCCTGCAGTACACAGACTGGCTGCACCCCGAAGAGCCCGAGCTCCTGAGGGATGCCCTGAGCGAGGTGGTGGGCGACCACAACGTCGTGTGCCCCCTGGCCCAGGTGGCTGGGCGGCTGGCCGCCCGGGGCGCACGGGTCTATGCCTACCTGTTTGAGCACCGCTCCTCCACGCTCTCCTGGCCCCAGTGGATGGGGGTGCCCCACGGCTACGAGATCGAGTTCGTCTTTGGGCTCCCCCTGAAACCAGGGCTGAACTACACCGCGGAGGAGAAAGACTTGGCCCGGCGGATGATGAGATACTGGGCCAACTTCGCACGCACAGGGTCAGCGGGGACAAAGGCTGGGTTGGGGGGGTGGGAGGAGAGGATGCAGTAGGAACGAGATGAGACAGGCAGCAGACAAGGGCCTGAGAGGACAGACAGGAGGAACTTAGGAGCAAGGCCCGGGGCTGCACTTGACCTATCTAAAAAAAAAAAATCCCACGGTCATGTGGGTGTTGTCCAAAGTAAAAGCCAGATTGGGGTGAAGGGGTGGGGGTGGGGGAATTCCTGACACCCCCACACTCATCTGCACATTGTTGGTAGAAGTATAGTAAGGGTGTAATGACACAGTGTAACCGAGTACTTAAAGAGAGGAGGGAAGCAGGAAGGGGGAGAGGCGAGAGAAAGAGAAGGCTAGAGGCAGGTCGGACTCCTGAAGCTGTTGCGGGGTGCTGGGAAAGAGGGGGTGAAAGAGGTGGGCCTAGCAGGGGCCCAGGGAGGTTAGATCTGGGCATTGCCGCCCCGGGTAGGGCGGAACACCCTGAGCCTTCCCTTGCCTTCCGCAGGAACCCCAATAGTCCTCCGGACCCTAAAGGCTCACAGTGGCCCCGGTACTCGGGGGACACGCAGCAGTACGTGAGCCTGAACCTGCGGCCGCTGGAGCTGCGCCAGGGGCTGCACGCGCAGGCCTGCGCCTTCTGGAACCGCTTCCTCCCCAAGTTACTCAGCGCCACGGGTACGCGGGGTCCAGGCGCCGCGGGAGGAGAGGAGTGGGGGCCGGCTGGGTATGACCCCTCTCTTCTCCCCCGTCCCCAGACACTCAGGGTCCCTGCAGCTGCTCAGACCCCACCGGCGGGGAGGCTGCCCCGAGGCCCCGGCCCGGCCTCCCCATGTCCCTCTGCCTCCTCCTCTCTTGGCTCCTGCGCCTCTGACGAGTGCTCGGTCTGTGGGGCCGGCCCCCCAACACTCAGGGATCTCCAACCCGGCGCCCCCACTCTTGAGACCCTCAAGCGGGAGGGCCAGGAGGGTGGAGGGTGACCAGCGACGACTCAGGGATCCCCACGCCTCTGCTGCTTCAATAGAAATGCCACAACTTTTTAATATTTTTTTATAAATTCATCCCTTGCAGCCTAAACCTGGTGTTGGGGGCTCCGGGTCTGGATAAAAACCCCGGCACAGTGGGGCGATAATCGTCAATCATTTCTCTCTTCTCTTCTCCCCGCCAACCTTGGACCCTCCCGCCTCTGTTCCCTGTCCCCGTCTTCCGGTCGTTGTCTTGTGCTTCTGCTCCCTGTCCCCGTCTTTCCGGTCATGTTCTCGTCCCCCTCCCCCTTCCTGCCGTCCGTGTCCGGCCCCGCCCCTACCCGCATCCTCCCTCTGGTCCTTGGCGTTTTTTCGCCTGATCCTCTCCCCACCCGCCCACGTGTCCTCCGTGCACTCGCCGCCCGCCCGCCCCCGCCTCTGTCCCTGACCTTCCCCGTGCCATCGCCCCGGCCGTAGACACGCTGGACGAGGCGGAGCGCCAGTGGAAGGCCGAGTTCCACCGCTGGAGCTCCTACATGGTGCACTGGAAGAACCAGTTCGACCACTACAGCAAGCAGGACCGCTGCTCAGACCTGTGACCCGGCGGCCGCCTACCCCGGCCCGCCCCCCGCGCTGTACATACTATTTATTATGGGCTGGGATATAATACGAGCCCTCCCCCGCCTCTGCCCGGCCCTCCCCGGGTCGCCCCGTCCTCTGCATGTCTCGGGCCGAGCCCCTCCCCCGCGGTGCCTTCGCCCCTCGGGGCTGCCAATAAACTGTTACACCACCAGAGTGTGCGCGACTCGGAGGGCGGGGACCGAACGCAACGACTCCGCCGTAGAGGATGCGCGCAGAGCCCGGCGCGCCCGCGGAGACCAGCGCGGGTGCAGGACGCGGGCACGTACAGGTGGCCCCGCCCCCCGACCGGCCCCGCGCCTGCGCAGTCGGCGGCCGGCGCGGGGCATTGTGGGAGCCGCCGGAGCCCGCCACTGCCGCCACCTTGGAGCCCCTAAAGGACGTTCACCTCGGCCTGGCCCCGCGCCCCGGCCGCCAGGCACTGCTGTCCGGCCACTATCTCTACTACCACTACGGCTGCGACGGTGTGGACGACCGTGGCTGGGGCTGCGGCTACCGCACCCTGCAGACACTGTGTTCCTGGCCAGCTGGCCAGCCCACGCGGGTGCCCACGCTGGCGGAAGTGCAGGCGGCCCTGGAGGACATGGGCGACAAGCCGCGCGGCTTCCGCGGCTCCCGGGACTGGATCGGCTGCGTGGAGGCCTGCCTCTGCCTTGACTACTTCGGGGGACCCCAGGGGCGCCTATGCCACGTGCCCCGAGGCGCCGGGCTGCGTGGACAGCTGGACTCGCTCTACGCCCACTTCTCTGGAGGTGGGGGGCCCGTGATGGTGGGGGGCGACGCGGATGCCCAGTCCAAGGCCCTGCTGGGTGTGTGCCTGGGGCCCGGCACAGAAGCTTCCGTCCTGGTCCTGGACCCTCACTGCTGGGGGACTCCACAGAGCCCCCATGACCTCCAGACAGCCGGGTGGGTGGGCTGGCGAAATGTCAGCACGACCTTCGACCCCACCTCGTTCTACAACCTGTGTCTGACCAGCCCAAGCCCGGACAGTAAAGGGGCCCATTCCCGGGACTGAGGCTCACTGCGGTCCCCCACGTTCCACCCCACGTCCCTTTTCCGGGGAACAGGCCCAGCCTTCGGTGACAATAAAGCGAGAGGTCCCCGCTATCCCCGCCTGGCCCATCTTTGGGGGGCGGGGCGCGGGGCTCCTGGCAGTCCCCGTGGAAGTGCATTTATTGGCAGTAGGGCTGAACGTACAAAAACTCTGAGCTGGCTGGTGCACGGCAGTCACAGCACAGAGACCGGGAGTGAGACGCCAGGCGCTCAGAAGAAGTCCACGTCATCTGGAGCGTCCAGGTCACGGTATTCCACAATGGCCCGTGGGTCCCCACGAACCATCCTGTGGTGAGCCGAGAGGTAAGAAGGGATGAGCTGAGGGTCCACAGACGAGCAGAGGGCAGGAAAGCCCGGCCACCTTGGCTCCTCACCTGTTGCGAGGCTTGCCGGGATAGCCTCCCTGGCCTCGGAAGGCATCGTAGTTGCCTCGGCCAGCGCCGTAGGGGCCGTGCGGGTACGGAGGCCCTCCTGTGGGGACTGCGGGGCGGACACCACCAGCTACAAAGACCATCGGGGCTGTGGTGAGGAACCACCTCAGCCATCTGCGCTGCCCATCCCCCCCCCAACCCTCACCTCCTGCCCTTTCAAACCCCCTCCAAGACTTACCTCCGTAGCCCAAGATGGGGGGCCGCGGCTGACCATAAGGCATGAGCCCCTGCGGAGTCTGGTGTGGGTAAGGGAGTCCTGGAGTCAGGCCTGGGGGGAGTACAACAGGAAAAGGAACGTGAATTACTGCGTGGGGAGCAGGACCAGAGACAGAACGGGGTTGTGACGCTCGCTTTGCATGCAGACTACCCTAGTTCGATTCCCAGTACTACAAGGTCCCTGAGCATCCCTGGCAGGGTTGTAAGACCCAACCATACCCCACCCCTAAAAACACCTTCCTAGAGCTGTCCTCAACCTAAGAAACATGGGATGCTTTAGGGGGGGGGTGGCACGGGGCAAGCCCCCATGGATCGTATCTTACTCTGGGCAGGACCGGGAGGCTGGGCAGGCTTGATCTCAGGCAGAGCTGGGCGCTTGGCGTCAGTGAGGAAGTTGTTGAAGAACGCCACCTCCTTCTTTACCTCCTCAATTTTCTCAGCATGCTTGTTGAAGATGTGCTTGCGCACAAACTCGGGGCCCTGATGGGGGTAGAGAGGGTGAGAGCCCTGCGCCGAGTGTGGGATCCACAGACCACCGCACCCTGCCAGCCTGCCTCTCAACATCTCAGACCTTGAATTTCTTGCCACTGAGAGGGCAGAGCCACTTATCCTTGCCCAGCTCCTGAGTGTTAGAGGTGACGAACTTCTCCACTTCCTGTTCAGGGTCTTTTCGCCCCATCTTCTGGGCCTCCTCCTCAGACAGGGACTCCCGCACACTCAGCAGGGGTGTCAGCTTCTCCTCAAATGTCTTCTGCCACTCGAGCACTGTGGTTTGGGGACACATAGGCCTTGGAGCAGGGAGCCAAAAGGGGACTCGAGTTGTGCCCGGCCGCCAGAGCTATGGGGTCGGGAGGCACGCACCTTCGCCGTGACTGATGCGGTTGGGGGGCATGGGCCCGCGCACGTGGATGATACCGCAGCGGTTAGGCATCTCGTCCTCGTTGGGGTATTCACAGGTGTTGTAGTAGTCCAGCGAGTGGACGATACGCAGGTACAGGAGTAGTTTGTCCAAGACCTGAGAGTACAAACAGCGGAGTCGGTCCCTGGCCCTGCAGTCAACCCCCTGGAGCCTGGTCTGCCTGCCTGCTGGCACCCACGAGCACCTTGATCAGTTTCTCATCCCTCTCCACATTGATCTCGGCAGGGTTCCCCTCCTTGGGCGGCTCCTCCGGAGGCGCCCCTCCACTGCTCCCCAGCAGCTCCTCCTCCTCGGCGCTCACTTCCTCAATCAGGTAGTCGGTAATATTCTTCAGGATGGGGTTCTGCGAAGGCAGGCTCTGGGGAAAGAGTGAGCAGAGCAGTGTGGTGAGGGATGGGCTCGGGCCACTGGCAAGGGAGGACCCAGCAGGGGCCCTGGGGCAGCACTGACCGCTGGCAGAGGTGGCGTGCCGGGCTCCGTTGCCCAGAGCTGGGTCCTGTCGTCCAGCGTGTGGATCAGTTTCGCCGCCAACTTGATGTCATTGCGCACGATCTGCTTGTGCTGGGTGATGCCGTTGATGTTCCTCACTCGGCGCGTCAGGTCTCTGTTCACCCCGGGGCTCAGCTCACACTCCCGGAGCTGGAAGCAGCAGGGCACTCAGCTCCTCTGGCTGCACCGAGCTAAAGGGGCCAGGTCCCTCCTCCCCCCCTCCCGCACTCACGCGGATATTCTGCAGATTCCAGCAAATCTCCTTAATGTTCACGCTGCGGTCAAAGGTCACCCAGCCACGGCGGAAAAATCTGGACAAGGAAGGATCGTGAGTGCTGTGGTGTGTGGCCGGCACTGGCCTCTGCACCTCGGGCTCTGCTTCCCCAACTGCTCACCTCCTCTCAGGCTGCGGCTCCGAGAGGGCCACGCGCATAAAGCCTGGGTATCTCTTACAGAGCTGAGAAACAGAAGCAAAGAGATTTAGACTTAGAGATTTGAGGTTCCACCTTCCCCCAGCGGTCTGGGTGTCAGCCCCCCGCCCCCGTTCCCCACTCACGGAGATAATCTCGGCCCGGGAGATGTTGGGGGCGATGTTGCGCATGAACAGGGAGCAGGTCTTGTGCAGGGGCCTGGGCTTACACTCCAGCCCGGGCCCATCCTTGGCTTTCTCCCGCTCTTCCTCCTTGGGCTTCTCCTTCTCCTTCGATGCTTCCTCTGTGCAGGTGGCAGAAGGGAACTGGGGATATGTGTGTGCCCAGAAGGCCCACACCACCCTCTCCACGCTAGGGGGCAGGCTGACCACACACATTAGATGATAGGCTAATCCCCGCCCCAACAAACACATACACTAGAAGGCAGGCTAACTTGCTCCCCCCATACACGCATACACAACTCACACTAGAGGGCAGACTAACCACACTCTCACACTAGAGAGCAGGCAAACATACTTGCACACTCTCTCTCCTCCCAAAAAAGCACCCTCCCCACAGCCTCCCGCAAACCTACACTGCCCATACACTCAGGCGAATGGGCCCAGCTAGACTATAGCTAGGGCGATGGCTCAGTGATCAAGCGCAAGGCCCAGGGTCCGAATCCCAGCCCAGCCCCAGCTGCGGCCCCAGCTCAGGCCTACCCGACTCCTCCTTCTCCTCCTCTGCCTGGCCACTCTCTGAGCCCGACTCCGACTCCGACACACTGCCCTCATCAAAGCTGTCATCGCCGCTGTGCTTTCTGTTCCTCTTTTTGCTCTGTGAAGCAACATGTCTGGTAAGTGGCCAGCCCAGACCCCCACTGACACCCACCGGGCACATGCAGCAGTGCCCACCTTTTTGGCCTCCTTCTCCGAGTCCTCTTTCTTCTCTTCCTTTTCCCCTTCACCCTCCGACTTCTTGGTCTTGTCTTCATTGGAACTGTCATTCTCGGCCTAGGGACAGAGCTGCGTCGACACCTCTCTCTCTCGGCCCCCAAGCACCCCCAGGTCCAGCTCCCAGGGCCTGTGCTGACCTGTTTGCCCTCTTCTTTCTTGTCCTCCTTGTCATTGGCCTTGCGTTCTGCATCCCCCAGGCCTGGGCCAGCCCGGCCTTCCTCTTTCTTGCTGGGGTCCCCAGGCTTTCCTGCCTGCTCCTCCTCCTCCTCCTGCTCCAGGATGCGTAGGTCATTTTCTGTCCCTCCTTCCATCTTAATCACAGCTACCAGAAGCAGACAGAGCCATCAGTGCCTAGGTTCTGGCCCTCCACGGCTGTCCCCCACCACCCCCACAACCCCCGGACGCACCGGCATCCAGCATCTTGACGATAGCGTCAGCTTTGTCGATGTCCAGGAGGAGGTTATCGAACCAGCCTGTCTCCATGAGGGACAGGAAGACCCTCAGGCGGTTCTGCAGGGCCCCCCGAGCCTCCTGTCTTCTCTTCCCCACCTCATCTGGGTGGTACTTAGACCGGAACCTGCAGGGCAAAGGGGAAGGCAGAGACAGTCACAGGGGTCAGCGCCAGGACATGGGGCGGGGCCCAGGCAAGTCAGGGCAGTGCCCGTCCTCTCACACCCACGTGGGCCATCGGTGCACAGCTAGGGGAGGGGGTGCACTGTGACCACCCCCCACCCTCCGAAGGAGCCAGAGGTTGTTGCTCTGACAAGACTCGGGGAGAACCAGAGACTGAGCGGCTGGGCTGGGGAGGGCTGTGACCAGAGGAGACCATGGTGGCAGCAGCAGGGCCGCGCCCCAGAGCTCCCAAGGGGAGAGCTGAGGAACGGGGAGGCCCCAAGCATCGCCCTCTCCTGCCCCAGGAGCACTCCCACCAGCTCCCGCCATCCCTCGGTGGCAGACAGAGGGACACCTGAAGTGCGCCAGAGAGGAAAGGCCAACCGAGGAAGGACAACGCGGTTCTCCCCCAGGGAAGAGAAGCAGGTGGTGAAGCAAAGGGAGACCCAGAAATGCCCGGGTGCCCACAGGCACTGCCCACAGGGGACAGAAGGGAGAGAGGGAGGAGAGCAGGGAGAAGAAAACACTTAAAGGAGGGCCTGGCAGGAAAGACAGGAACCAGGAGCAAGAGGGAGAGTATGAGAAAGCCCCAGAGTGGGAAACCAAAGGGGGAATCAGAGCAGACACAAGGAGAAAGTGAGGGGTCAGGAGTGTGGGACAGGGATGGAGGGGGACAGAGAGGGAGGGACAGGAAGGCTGGCAAAGACGACACTGGGAAGGTGGGGAGAGGGCAGCAGAGGACGGAAGAACCACAGGTCGAGGAGGAAAGGAAAGCCGCAGGCATCACCTCCAGGATCTTTACCTTGGCCGCTTGGTCAAACAGAGCTCAAGATTTAACTAGCCGCGCCCAGGGCCCACGCTGGCTGGTGGGCCACCGGCTGGCTCCTGGCTGGGGCGCCCGGCCCAGAGGCCCCAGCCCCGCGGGAGTCCGCGGGGGGGCCCTGACTGACTAGCTGCCTGAGCGATCACATTCAGCTAGACCACTGCATTGTGCACAGCGGTGCCCTGCCTGTCTGCCTGGCCGGGCAGCGCGGCTCAGCCCAGGGCTCATGTTTGGGCTGGGTATGGTGG